GCAGAAGGGGGCGATGGGGTTGGCATACGGGGGGCGGCCATGCCCGATGGGCAGCGCGCATGTACAATCGCTGCCTGTTGTGAAGATTTCTTCGCTGTGAACGGGCTGACTGGAGTCGTGGCCGGGCCGTCAAAGGGTGTGAACTTGTGTGTCGCATTTCCCGTTGTATCATTTCATTCTGCACCCAGTCTGCTTGGAGCAGGGAGTTTGGTGGGAAAGGCAGGGTTGCAGCCCTCACCCAGGCTGCCACGTGCATGGCCCCAGGTGTGCCCTCCCACGCCTTGCATGCATGCAGGCGAGGCGTACCGCTTCGTGAACCCCGCCAAGGAGGGCTGGCTCTTCCGCGGCAAGCGCAACGCCGTGACAATGCAGCCGCAGGTGAGCAGGCATCGTGAGTTGTGCTTCGACGCGGTTTAATCGCACCCAGCAGAACTGCAACCAGCACAGCGTGTCGTTTGTATCCATGCCAGCACCCCCACTCACAGGTCTAATGTTTGGAGTGAAACTGTGATCCAGATTTCGGCGGTCATCCTTATCCAACGACCCCAGCAGGTCTTCCGGCTGGATGATGAGGGGGAGGCGCTGGCGTTGCAGGCGGACGAGCTGCGGCGGCAGCTGGAGGCCAACGAGGGGCTCACTCAGGAGGAGCGGCAGCTGGTAGCCGCACGCCTCGAAAGCATCAAAGCGGCGCGGCAGCGCGCAGGAGCCCGCGGGGCCGCCGCGGCGGCTGTGCAGGGCAGGCAGCCCGCGCAGCACCATGTGGTGCAGGGGCGGTGATGTTAGTGGCGCAACACGTAGATCGGTCTTGATACCTTACTGTTACCTGTTAGGTAGAGCTTCAGCCAGCTTCATCAGATTGTCGGTGTCATCTGGTGCTTTAGAAGCACACTCATTCGTCACACTTTAGAATTCCAAGGCAAGGTCAGCGGACAGGTAGTTCTGGCGCCACGATTGATTGTGAGACTTCAATAGATTTTACAATGCCCTGCGCTGGGCAAGGCAGCCTGCAGAGGCTCTGTTAATTGCACCGCTTTGTGTGTGGCTAATGCAGGATGGCCATGCCTTGCGACGAGTAACGCAATCAGATCATGCCGCCTCCTGCGCTAGTCGCCCCGTAGCTGCAATCCCTTCAGCAGGAGCAGCTCCCGCGCGTGCCGGTAGAATCGTGGCCTGGCAGCGATTGAGTGCGTGAGTGGGTGCAGACAGCGCTGTCGCGCCACAGGCGGAACAGCTTCTAAGAACAGCAATTGCTCGGTCACTTTGTGCTACGGTCCCTACGGCTAGGCTGCTGCACCTGTGCGAGAGCGCCTGCCTAGCAAGGCAAGCACCGGCGTTGCTGAACCGTCCCTGCTCAACGGCTGCTCAACACTTGATCGCACGCTCACCCTCAAAACATAACAGCCGTGTGAAACACAGCAGTTCAAATATTGATTGTATACTCATGATCTGTTGGGCCGTCGCTCTTTCCAGATGGTTGGCGTGCAATTTCCGTTGTGCGCTGGTGCAGTCGCTGGTGTGCCGCACGCGCGCGATGCTAAGGCAGGAACTTCCCAACATGATGCTGGAGCTTTGTCATTTCTGCCTGTGCAGTTGCAGGATCGCCCAGGTTCCGCGGCTCGAGCCCGGCTGGGCGTACCCACATGAGTCGGTGTGCTGGACTGCCCGTGCACGCGCTTGTGGTACCCACTGCCTTTGTACTGGGCGTGTGTTCTGGAATTTCAAGTGTGACGCAAGGGTATTTCTTCGACGCATCACCCGCAAAAGACGTAACTTGGCAGAACATCCAACACGCGCGGATCTGGTTGGAGCTCCTCGGGGCCAGAGACCTACCCTGACGGACTTCAAAAAAGTAAACTACATCTTTGGAGAGCAGCTGGGTGCCGCCCCGACCGTGGCATCACGGCGAGACCGGCACCACGCACGCCCCGCCCCCACACAGCACGGCCGAGCCCGGCCGGGGTCAGGCGGCGGCGCCAGAGCGGGGCGCCCCACAGAGCCGCAAACTCCGCATGCAGCGGCCTGCCGCAGAGCTGACAAACCTGCATCGCGGGGGGGACGGCCAGTGGCGGGAGCTGCAGGGGCATGACTCCCTTGAAATGCGGCCTTGGGGCCCACGTGAGCAGCAGAATGGCCAGGCACAGGGCACATTGGAAGCCCGATCGCCCGCGGCCGGCGGGGCGCTTCCTCCTGTCCATGCGGGTCAGCTGCCACCGCTGCTGCCACAGCTGCTGCCGCCCTTGAGAGCACCACTGCATGACAAGCAGAGCGGTGATGTGGGAGCGCAGTCCAGCTGGCCCGAGGTGGCAATCGGTGATGCGACTTTGCCTGCTGCAGCCAGGACCGAGCAACAGCAACAAGGACAGGCACTGCAGCAACAGCAGCAGCAGCAGCAGCAGCAGCAGCAGCAGCAGCAGCAGCAACAGCAGCAGCAACAGCAGCAGCAAGAGGAGGAGCAGCAGGAGCAGCAGCAGCAGCAGCAGCTGCAGATTCTTGGTGTCGACTCTCAGCCGGCGATCCGGCGCCGGCGGCGATCTGCAGCAGACGACTTAAATATGGCAGAGGAGCCTGGGGCCCCTGATCAGGGCTGCGACGCGCGCTGCGCGGCGTGCGGCGCCAGCCTCGTCGCGGCCGGCGCAGGGGAGCGCAGGAGCAAACGCAGGCGCCTGTGCGGCAGCTGCAGCGCGGACCGGGGTTTCGGCGCGCCCTTTGCCGCAGCTGGCGCGTTGCTGCCAGCTGGTGCAAAGCAGGCAGAGCGAGGCGCTGAGCAGCATCAGCGACGGCGGTCCTCTGATAATGGGGCGAGCTGGCAGGCCAAGCGGGCTGCGGCAGGCGCCCGGCGTGCCAGTGAGGGCGGAGGCGCGGCGTCGGGCGGCAGCGCCGGCGTGAGTGGCTGGGGCGGCTCCGAGGGCAGCGATACTGAGGGCGAGCCGCCGCTGCGCCTGACCGAGCCCCAAACGCAGCCACAGCGGGCGCGAGCGAGCGTGACGCCTGGGCAGCTGGATCCGCGCGGCACGCCGGGCAGCGACGCCGCCGCTCGCCCCGCGCCACCTCGGCCGGCGCGGCGCGTGGCCGACCAGGCGGCGCCGGGATTCCGCGGCGGCGCGCACAAGCGGTCTGTGCCGCCCAAGTCGCTCTACAAGGGCCTGGCCTGGGACGTGCAGGAGGACTGCTGGCGGGTGCGCATCAGCTACGACGGGAAGCAGCGCCACATCGGACGGTGAGCAGTAAGCCGACCACGGCCGCGCTCACACCCGTGCACGACGCACGGCCTCGTCGGACAAGCTGGTTTGCATTGCGACGCTTGGCTCGTCGGCCCCCGTCTCCCCCATAACCACGCGCTTTCGCGATTGGTATTTCTTGCCAACCTCAGGTTTGTATACGAGGAGGATGGCGCCCAGGCGTTTGACTGCGCCGCCCTGCTGCTCTTCGGCGAGCAGGCCGCCACCAACTTTGGCGGCGCCAGGGCCAGGCAGCAGCTCGCGCGCTTCAAGGACAGCCGGCACATGGCCGCAATACGAGCGCTGGTGCAGCCAGCGGCGGCCGGCCGGGGCAATCGAAGCGCGGAAGGCGCTGCAGCACCGGCGGCGGGCTCCGGCTTGGCTGCGTCTGGCGGCAGCGCAGCGGCCGGGGACTGGTTGATGGGGATTCAGCAAGGGAGGGTCGCAGCAGAGGGTGGTGCAGGGGGAGATTTTGGGGCGATTGGGAACGGCGGCATGCAGGGACGGCGGCCACATCACGTGCAGCCGCGATTGCGGCAACAGCCGCAGCAAAAGCCACAGCCACACGCGCACGCACAGCAGCAGCAACAGCAGCACCAGGAACAGCAGCAGCAGCAGCCACCGCAGGAGCAGGAACAGCTGCTGGGGCCACTACAGCCGCAGGTGCTATTCCTGCCTCCGTTGCTGCCCACGCAGGCGTTGCTGCTGCAGGCGCAGGGACAGTGCATTTTGGCGCAGCCGCTGCAACCGCAGGTGCCGCAGCACAGCCAGCCACTCAAGCAGGAGCCGCAGCACATACAGCAACCGCTGCCGCGCCACCACCTCCACCACCAGCAGCCGCCGCGCCACAACCACCACCAGCAGCAGCAGCAGCAGCACCAGCACCAGCAGGAGCAGCAGCAGCAGCAGGAGCAGAAGCAGCCCAAGCGGCGTCAGCACCAGCGCAAGCAGCGCGACCAGGACGAGCAGGAGGAGGAAGAGCATGAGAGGCTGCAGCGGCGCTGGCACCAGCGCTGGCGACGCCAGGAGCAGCACCAGCAGCGGGCACAGCAGCAGCAGCAGCAGCAGCAGCAGCAGCAGCAGCAGCAGCAGCAGCAGCAGCGCCGCGGAGGCGGCGCGGGCCTGCCGCTGCCGCCCCGGCCTGATCAGGCCCGGTTCAATGGCATGGGGCCGGTGGCACCCAGCCCCTTGGACCAGCTGCTTGCTGTCTTGGATCAGGAGCAAAGCGGTGCAGCTGCTCGGAGCGTCCCTATCAGCTCGATGAAGCCCCCAGCTCATGGCGGGGTGCCTAGCGGCCCCTCGGCCCCCATGCGCCGCGGCCTGCCGCCCCGGCCATGCGCCCCTGGCAGTGCGGCTGCGCCGGCGCCAGGGTCCGGGGAGGATGTGGCAGCGCCTGGTGCCCATCTGGCGGCGCAGCCAATGAGGCGCTTGCCTCAGTACGACTGGATGGACTGCCTCGGCGCCGCCGGCGGTGGCGGCCCACGCGGCGGCCAGGCGCCCGCAATCGACGGCCCGACGACGGCCTCGGCGGCAGCACCACCAACAGGCACTGAGTCGATGGCGCCGGATGGCGAGCTGCCGGTGAGCGCGGCGCCAGCTGTGAAAGCAGAGCCCTTGGGACCACGCCAAGAGGGGGTCATCAAGGCAGCAGTCGCCGCTTCAGGAGAACTGCAGCAGCAAGCAGGTGAGATGGTGCAGCCGCATTCGCAGCCGCAACGGTCAGAGCAGCCTGCCTTGCGGCCGCAGCAGCCCCTGCACCCGTTCAACCGGCTGATGGCGGTGCTGGCACGCGCACAGCTGCAGCATCTGATTGGAAAGAAGCAGCAGCGGCGGCAGCAGCAGCAGCGGCAGCAGCAGCAGCAGCAGCAGCAGCAGCAGCAGCAGCAGCGCCAGGCGCAGGCAGCGGCGGGCGCGCCTGCTCGCGCTCCCGAGGGCGCCTCCGGGGGTGCGCCGCTCGCGTCCGGGATCGCGCGTCAAGGTTCGCAGCAGCTCATCCCCAGCGGTGGGGCTGCAACGGGACGGGTCGTGACCGGCACGCAGCCGCGGCTGCTGCAGGCGGGACAGGCGGCGGTGGAACCCTGGGCCGAGCGGCTGTTGGAGGGGCAGCAGCAGTCGCCGACGAGCTCGGGGCGGTCTGACCCGATTGTAGAGCTCCTGGCGGCCCTAGCACAGGAGCGGCTGGAACAGGAGCGGGCCGAGCAGGAGGCGGGCAGGCCAGACCGCGAGCCGGGGCCGCCGCAGGCGTGGCAGCAGCTGCAGCAGCTGCACGATCAGCCAGTCGGTCCAAGCGGTCGTGGCGCAGCAATTGTCGGGGGCAGCGCATCAGTTGCCGTGTTGCCAGCTAGCAGAGCGGTGGGGGCCCCCTTCTCTGTAGTAGAGGACGGGGGTGAGGCTATGCTGGCTGCTGCAGCGCTGGCAGGCGCCGCCGAGCCGGACCAGTGACGGGAACCAACGCATGCGGGGGCTGGCACTTGGTCGTGTGACTTCTGAACCTGCTGTTGGCTGTTGCGAAAAGCAAGCCGTTGCAAAACAGCACGCAAGCACCCTTGTCACTGAGCATGAGCACGCGTGTCGTCTGTTTGTTTGCTTGGTGCTGTTGAGAGCATACGTTCTTGCGCCTCTGTTATCCTGGAGTTTGGACCTGTTCCTCAAGGATCATGTACAGTATACGAGTGGGCTTCCTTGGCTGACTGCCTGAACTGCTTGTGCATGCGTCCGCTCACTGCGCCGCCGGCCAGAGCGTCCAACAGAGCGGGTCGAGCAGAGGAGTGCGTGGTACGCACTGCTTCGCACCCCCAAGAGCCGGTTTCGGGCGGCTGGCTGTCCATTTCTTTGCATTTATCGTGAGGGCTGCGTGGGCCTGTGCTCATTTGCTGGTGTGCCCTGATCAGCTGGAACATGCCTTTTGGGTCCCTCCATTGGAGTGCGTATTTTGGGGGTGCCTGCCCCCGGGCCTGCAGCCTGTGTGGTGCGAGCGTGGTAGGTTGACGGGGCCCTCGACTCAGCCAGGGCCTGAGAATGGCCCGGCTGGCATGTGTGCAGTAAGCCAGTGTTGTCGATGCTGGCTTGTGTGACATGAGCCGGCGATTTGAAGTACAACGATGGCTCTCAACAACGGTAACTGTTCGTTTGGCCTGCTGGCTGTGATTGTGGACGCTATGGGCCATGTGAAAAGATGAAGAATGTTCGGCAGCCTGAAGGCGGTGGCAGGATGCTTTTCAAATTATGCCATGCGTACGGCATGCATATGGCGGATGCACATGGATTTTGTGACCACCAATGCGTCCCGTTCCCAGCCTCACTCTACTGCACTGTTGGTCCCCACAAATGTGCATCACGTATGTCACATAAGTCCACGGTCTGTGTCCAAGTCCAGGCATGGGGCAACCTCAGTGCAGAGTTGCAGAAAAATGCAGCTGCATTCCAGCAGCGAGGTAGTCAATCCTAATGAAGCTGCTCAGACCAACAACCCTCCGCTCAGTACACACCATGCATACTTCTGATGTCTCAGAAGCAACTACAGCATTCTATCAGCAACGTGTGACGGACACGATCCAGTTGGGCGCGGGTTATAACAGGCATATATGTGTGGCCTGCCCACACACATGCGCCAGAGCACAGCAGATACGCACCACACTCAAGAGGCCCTGTGGGATTGGGCGCTCAGGCACCAAGCTTGGCCAGTGCTGCGCAGGTGCCGCTGTCTCCCCTGACGATGGCCTGCGCGTCTCGCGCTGTCTGCAGCCGCGCGACCGAGACGACCACTGCCTTGGGGTCTGTCCCCTGGATGACGGCGTTGTTCACCGTGAACTTACAGGTGACCGTCTGCTTGGGGCCAATCTGGACCGCCTTGGTCTGCCCGTAGACCGGGCTGGCACCGGCAAAGCAGTCGGGGATGGTCATCTCGTCGATGGCCATGATGTAATCAAAGCCGTTGGTGCCGTAGTAGGGGCCGGAGTATGGGTTGAACTGGCGGAGGGCGCCCTCCTTGTCAGAGGCTAAGAGGGCCTTGACGGCGGGGGAGCTATTCTGGGACTTTGGAACCACTGAAGTGACGATTGCAGTCGGGGGGCTGAAGACCTGCGTTGCAGAGAGTGATCGGCAAGCTCGTCAACAGCTGGCCAGGGGTGGTGGCTGGTGGGCGTGGGGCAGGAAGGGCTGCCAGGGGCGTACGCAGCGGCCAGGTCTAGGGGTTACCGTCAATCCTGGGATGCTGCAATAACAATATTTTGCTGCAAGCGAGGCCTCAGCTGCATGGCTTGCTGTGTCAGCTCATCACTCGCGTGGCGCACATTGATGGCCGCGCTCGTGGGGTTGGTGACCGTCAACGTGCCAGCGACGGTTGTGCTGCCCGGCTTGTATGTTGCTTGAGCAAATAGCTGCAGCTGGCAGCTACTTGAAGCAGGGGAGCCCTGGATCGCTGCAACAGCCCGGTTGAAGTTGGAGACGGCCACCGAGGGCTGGGGTGATGGCCCCGCCTCCGCGCCTCGTAGCAACAGCAGGGTCATCACCACTGGCCCGAGAAATAACCCTATACCCATGCTTTGGTGCTGGTCGCTGTAGACACCGCTGATATTGACGACTCGGATTTGTTGCCGCCAGCGACAAGGCAGTACCGTCGCGGGATGCTAACTTTTGGCCTTCACAAAATCATGCATCATTGTTGGGGTCATGCCGCGGGGATCCTATGTGTGACACCCGCGTGTCACCTGTCGTTCCACCTCACTCTTCTCACTCCATCAAATGTCCCGGCGACGGAACAGCACTATTACCCCGCTGCTTTACCATATTGGAAAAATTTGGCATTGATTCCCCTGCTGGCATGTGTATGGCATCACACATTGACTGGCATGCATTAGACGTATAATCAGAACCCAGGACGAGCAACGAGCTGTTCAACCTACACACCTGCATTGCCAGCAGCTTCAATTGCTGTTTCAGGGTTGCTCCCTGGACTCCCTTTGTTGTAAGGCGCGCTGCTGAGACCACGTCAGCAGGTCTGCCATGGCCCAGAGCCGACCGCGGGCTATGGGGTTGCCCGCCGATCACCTGACCACCAGGGCCCTTTGCTCCGCAAGGGTGATGCTGTATCGCAAGGGCGCACGCCGTTGCAGACACCCAGCCAGGATGATTTAAAACACGGCTTTTTTGCCATACAACTGAATGATGCACACTCATCACTGGCAGTAAGGCACATTTTACAAATGAACGCGTCGCATGCAAACAGCAATTGACGATGACATCATGCAAGAGCTCGCCCTCAGGGCCCCAAGCGTAGCCCGCGCATGAGTGTGGAAAAGCTAGCATCGCACCTACAGCCATGGCGAGAAAGCATCGCACATATCAGGGAGTCGATGTCTCTGCTTGAACCGAACAACACCACCTTACCAAAGACCGCGTGGATGCACTTTTGTGTCAATCAAAACCGCCCTCAGTCACGGCGGGTCACGTCGCCGCGGGCAGGCCAATCTCCTTTGCGTTGACGATGCTGGGGGCGGCGCGCGGCAGGGAGGGGATGGGGCCGTCCAGGAAGGGGGTGATGTCGTTGGGCTTGGTCCATGCGCCGTAGCCCTGCAGCACGCCGGCCACGTTGGCCGCTGCCAGGGTGGCCTGGGGGGAGAGGGGCGAGCGCAGGCAGGTTGTCAAGGGGGAGGGCATGCAATTGATTTGAAAGTGCAAAGCATCACGACGCACCGGCACCTCGCCACCCGGCCAACGTGAACGCACGCGCTGTGTATCTGCTGTGGCACACATGCTTTGTCATGCAGCCGTTACTGTTGCTGCTCCCTGTCGCACCCCCCTGCCTACCATGCCGCTGCGCGTCCACATGCTCGCGCTGGCAATGTGGGGCACAATCACCGCGTTGGGGCAGTCCGCCAGGCCGGGGGCCATGGCTGGCTCGTGCTCAAACACGTCCAGGCCTATTGCAGGGTTGGGGA